CGGTTAGTTCTACCCTATCACCCCCATACTCAAACAATCTTCACTGGCTCCTGATAACATTTAAAATCAAATCCTCAAACCTTTCAGTCTGGCATTTAAAGCCTTTACATCTCCACTTCTTACCACTTACTCTGCTCTTACCTTATTTCTCATCAATCCTTGGTATGATCTGTCTACCTCTATCAGCCTGGCATGTTCTCACTACCAGGTTTCAATTCTTGTTCCTCTCCTTGCCTATAATGTCTTTTCACTTCCTCTTTGTAGATCCACATTAACTGCACCATTTAAGACCCTCTTCAAGATATACCCCCCTTCTACAAAGCTTTTGCTGAATCACTCACAGTGTCACAGATACTTTGTGCTAAAACAGACTTCAAAGCTCGCTGATCAAGTTCAACTTTATCACCACCACCACCCCTCCATTTTTCAGGTGAGAAAACTTAAGGCCCAAAGATATTAAGTGACTTGTGTAAGGTTTGTGACTTTAGTGGTAGCAGCATAACCTGAAGCCAGATTTCCTGACTCCCTTTGCAATTTCCTTTCCACACCATCACACTTTGTCCCCACCATCCCACCCACACACAAAAGTACAAAGCGTGGTGTCACGATCATAAACTAACATCTGTGTTTGGATTGTTTTTCACCTGTATCTGGTTCATCTCAACCACCAAATTCTAATAATTCTTGAGGGAAGGGATTGTGTGTAATATTTCTGCCCCCTCTTCTTCCCCATGGCACCTAAAAGGGCTGTATATATTTCAGACAGGCAGTAAATGTATCTTAACTGTGGAGTCCTTAACTTCAAGGAAATATAAAAACAGAACCAATAAAATGAGTATACTCGGAGTGGATTATTATATCACATATATATTCAAAAAGGTTCCTTTAAACAGGGACCTCCTATAGTGAGCTTGGTTACAGATCATTAACTACCATCCAGAAAGAGAGAGAATGAGAGCTGAGAAACCTCGAGGTAAATATGTAAGAATCACTCCTCCTCTTACAGGCTTGAGAAATAGAAGGGTGTTAAGGCAGACGTCCCACTTCATAATACAGAGGATTTACACAGCCCCTGTCTTGCAACCCCCAACTCAGCACTAGCTCTGGTCTCCTTGGACTGGGAGTTGAATGACACAAGTTTTAAATGTCTGTTCCACCATTAATTTTCTCTGTGACCTAAGACATATCACTTAATCTCACTGGACTTATGTTTTCTCGTCTATAAAAGTTTAGGGGGTGGGAGTGTGGGATAGAAGTCCAGACTTGCTTTGCCTCACACATTTGTTGTGAGGCTTAAGTGAGATAATATATATGAAAGTGCTTTAAAAATCAAAGGCATTCTATGAATGCAAAGTATTAACTTTTTAACTCCCAGTCCTGTATCAATTAAATCCTAGGAGACTAGAGCAAGGGAAGGATAACAAGTTTGCATGTTAATCCCATCTAAATTAATTGTCAGAATTCTCTACCTTCTCTGTAAATGCTGTTCTTCATCCCGTCTCTATTTTATTTGGTAGAATATTATAAAGGTTGCTATTTTGTCTTTGCACATTGCTGAGGTGGCAGGAATGGGGGAGGTTGGCAGCTGCTAAGACTCAGGAGAGGCACCTATTTCTTTTCTAAATTGCTCGAAAGGGGGAGTGGTAGGGAAATTGAAACTGTTGGTCAAGGGAGGGGGAAGGGCTTCCACTCTAGCTCTACAATGTCACTGTTTCGTTCAATAATTAAAAGAAGATGGAAGAAAAAGAAGAAACAAAAGCTTTAATTTTGCCACATTTTTCAAGTTTTCTCTCCTTTAGCTTTCCAGAATTCCCAGTATGCCTGAAATTAAAAGATATCTGTGCTGGCTTGGATGAGCATTATTTTGGGTGGAATAAGGATAAATGTGGGGCATGGGGATGAGGTAGCACATTATGCATTACAAAACTTGAGCCCACTCTACTGATCTATCCTTCATTTAGCCCAATCGGGTAACATATAATATGCCCTATAGCCCTACATTAAGGACCATATCTGCCCTGGGACATCCACTCAAAACTTGTCTGAAAATGGACATCGTTCTTATTCTTATGCAGCTCTTGGCCTTTACACAAGTATTGTTCAATTAGAAAAGAGCCTTTTAAGAGATCATCAATCATTTGAAATATCAAATCCTGCTAAAAAGCAATGCAGGGAAAAAAAGACATTCTAACTGATAACCTTGCAATGAATCATCCACTTACCAGACATCTCCTGAATCCTTACTATAAACTCAGCCCCAGGTTAGGTGGGCATCTACACAAGCATCTGCACAAGCATCTCAGTAAAGCTTTCTCAGTTAAGAGACTAGCAAACTATGGGGGAGAGGAAAGTAGAGATAAGATGCAGCAACAGTGTCTCCCTAAGTCAGGCACCAGTGAACTCTAACTCCCCACCCCACACCCCACAGTGGTCCCATGTAAAGCATGGTATTCAATGTTGGCCGGAGGGAGACTAAAAAGCAAAACACAACCTTATAACACAAAGCAATAAGGCAGCTTGTGATGTATTGAGAAACGTCTTAAAAATTAAATTAATCATAATTAAACCCAGACAGTATATAACTCACCCTAGTGTAGCAAAAAAAACATGCTCCAACAACTATTTTAGCATTGACTCTCAAAGTGACCTTGCAGCAAGTGTTTACATCATAAATTTTGGACTCCTTGTGATTAAGTATAGAATTATAGACAAGAGTATCAACGAACATACATAAAGCAATAGCTCCAACTTATCCCCTGGTGGTGTCCTGCTTGATGACACGGGGTCTATGCCAAACCCCACCCTGCTATTCTCTAACCCAGGAGGCCATCCTGATCAGTGACTCCTTCACCTGCAGTCTTTTTAATTATGTGCCAGGGTTTGGTGAAAATAAGATTTATTTATTTTTTTTTTGAAAATAAGATTTAAATGTGAGATATTGACCCCTTCTAAGGACCAAAGTCTGAAAGCCTGAGAAGTGAGCTCCAAGCACAGGCATACTGGCTGGTCAGATCTGACATCTGCATGTTTCGGAACTGAACTCCAGGTTAAAAGCAGCTTGGCTGCTTACATGTGGGATGGAAGAGAGGAGAAAAAGCCCAAGGAGGGTGAAGAAGATGAACTCTTTGTGTGGATTTACTGGAAGGAGGTCTGTCAGCAGCAAGAGGCTTGAGAGAACTCACCTCTACTGGGTTTCCCCAGCCCCAGAGATTAGGGATGGTCCTGATACTAGTTTAGTAACTGCCTAGGAGTGTAACCCTTCTCCGGAAGGGTGGGCTTGGGCTTCAATGCTACAGTGAGGATCTGGGAAATGCAGATCACTTCGGGGATTCCGGTCTTTGGAGGTGGTGGGGGGTGGCTAGGTGAGGCTGTCTTCTGCTCTATTATTTACTGCTGGGAGGTGGTGTAGGGAACAGAAAAATGCGGCAGGTTCTAGAAAATTCTGGGTGGGTCAGTGTCATTTGGCAAAAGAAGAGGGATTAGTGAAGGATATGGTGTGGGAGTAGAGGGCGAGAGGAGGGGCTGCAGAAGGAGGGCTGCCATCCACAAATGCAATACTGTGTGTCAGAGATAAATTCACTTGTCATATTTCAAATTAGGTTTATAGGTACTTCTCCCAGCCCCCACACAGCAGTGGCTTAACGGGTGGCCTTCTCAATTCTTAATTGCAATTTTGCAATATATTGGCGTCTGAAGTCTACGTCTGTCTGAGACGATGGTGTGTATGTGTGTGTACGTGACTGAAAGTCGTGAGATCTTCTAAAGTCTGTCGAGGAGGTGGAAAGGGTGCTGCGGCAGGGACCAGCTGGACTCTTCTCAAGAGAATCTTCCATACCTAATGTCAGAGTGCTATTGAGGTATCAGGAGGTGAAGAAGGTGTGGGTGGCGCAGTGAATTTCCCCCAGCCCAAGACACACACATACACACTAAGTTCAGGAAAAAGTCCTGCTGATGCCTGGAAAGTCCGGCTACAAGCAAAAGGCAGTCTCCCATGGCCTGGGCGAGCCAGGCTGACTCCCGAATCGCCGCCGAGAAGCGAGGGAAGCCTTCGCTCAGGAGCGCGCAGCCTCGCCGCTGCTTCCCAGGGAACTCTTGCCTCGCTCTAGGGGCTAGCTACATCTGCAGGCTGTGGGAAGCCAGGGCTCCAGCTCTTTCTCATCACACACCTTTCCCGAAGCACCTCAAGCCCTGTACCCAACGGCAAACCCCTCAGATCTGGCGAAGCTCAAAACTGCAAAAACTGAGGCGGGGGTGGGGGGAGGCGGCAAATTGTACTTCAATCCAAAGGACTGAACGCGCGCGCGCGCACACACACACACACACACACACACACACACAAACCCCAACCCCGCGCCGCTTAATTTCTTTTCCCGGGGTAGAAAAGAGGATTACTTGCCCACAGAGGTTTGGAGATGGGGGGCAGGAGGTTGGTCCGAGGCTAGGCTCACCTGCTGCAGAGGTGAGAGAGCAGATACAAGATGCAAGCTGTTAATGAGCCGCAGCTCACAGCTGAATGGTTGAGGTATTGCAAAGACCCTCAAGTTCGCCTTTGGCTTTTTATTTATTTTATTTATTTATTTATTTATTTATTTGCATTCACGTCACCAAAGGGTTAAACGGCTGGGCTCCAACAGCACCCCCCCCCGCCGTTTCACTCCCCCTTCCCCTGTTTTGTCTCCCCCCCTCCCCTCCCGCACGTCGCTAGGAGGTCATCAAGCACTCTGTCCAGTCCGCGTTCGCAAGCCCCTCTGCTTCCCGCCCATCTGGCCCGTGGCTGCTTACGAAGAGGTGTGCGCTCACCGAGGGGCGTGTTCCAGCACTGGGAGACGCGGAGCGCCCCTGGGTTAGACCTCAGAGAGGAGCCAGCCATGGAGCGGGGCGGGGGAAAGTTTGGCACCCTGCAAGGGGTCGTCGAACAGGAGTGGGCGGGGTGCCCGAGGGTACTTTAGCCCTCCGAGCTCAGGGGCACAAGCTGCCCGGACCTGAGGCGGTGTGCGGCCATGGACCGTGGAGCTGCCGCGGCCCAGGGCACTGCCCCGCCTCAGGATGGAGAGCAGCCCGCGGAGTCTCCAGAGCCGCCGCCGCCGTGGCCGCCGCCGCGGGCTCCTCCACTGCTCCACGCGCCTTCGCCAGAACCGGCACCACAGTTCTGTCCAGAGCCTGCTCCAGAACCCTGTCCGGAGGCGACCCCAGAACCAGCCACAGAACTCGACAAAGAACGGATCTCAGAACCAGCCACGGAACCCGCCCCCGAGCTGTCTCCGGAACCAGCCTCAGAACCAGCCACAGAACCGGCCTCTGAGCCAACTCCAGTACCAGGCACAGAACCGGCCCCCAAGCCGGCGCCAGAACCAGCCCCAGAACCAGCCAGAGAGTCCTGCCCTGAGTTGGCTCCCGAGTCCCGTAGGGAGCCGAGCCCAGCAGCACGTCTATTGCCGTGTCCGGTGGTCGCTCCAGAGACGGGTCTAAAGACCTCATCATCACCCCGAACACCAGTGCTGTTCTCCAGTATAAAGGTAAGAAAACGACCCCCTTGGGGCGGGTAGGGTGGAGGGAGAAGGAAAACGAGGCCGATGGCTATCAAGCTCGTGGGACTCTGGGTACCCTAAGCATCCCATTTGGCTGCCACCGACTGGCAAAGATGCGCGGAGAGATGCGGGGATGGAGGAGCCCGGGGGAGTGGGAAATGGTTGGGAGGCGGGAAGCAACATGTGGAAGCGAGAGTGGGCTGTTGGGGCTAGAAACAGGGTGACTGCACGGGTTGGGAGTCGGAGCAGTTTTCCGCATGGGAAGAAGTGGCAGTGCAGTGAGCGCCTATATCTTGAAAAAGAGGTGGAAGACGTCCTCAGGGAGCGCAAGAGACCTAGAGAAGTATTTGGGGCCGGCCCTGGGTACAGAGATGGGACTGAGTGGGGATGATGGGGGGGGACACACCTCTTAGCCGCGGTCACTGCCGCAGAGGCCCAAGATGCGGAACCGCAGCCGTCAGCTTAGCCCCCTCCCTGACACTGGAGGGGGGTTATCAGCAGGGACGCATCTGGCGGCTCTCCAAGGAGATGCCCGCGCCTCCGCCGGCTGCTTGGGAGCTGGTATTCAGGGTGGGGATGAGGGGATGGGCGGCGCCCACGCGCACTGCAGGGGAAGGGCAGGGTTCGCTGGGGAGGAGGGGGAGAGGATGATTGTGTCGAAGCCACCATTCCATCTGTCTGCAGGATTTCCCGGCAGGTAGGTGCAAACACTGTGATATGGTGATGGTCCGCGTCACAAACGGGTGACTGGCATCCCGCACAGGGGCCAGTTGGAATGGTACCGGAGTCCCGGTTTAGATACACCAAAATAGGAGTTGGTATTTGAGAGCGTGTGAATGGAAGTCCTCATCTCTTCCAGTTTTCAGAGATGCCTTCCTAAACATTGCGCTTTGCCTGGAGAAGACGAGTGGAGGATCCTCGCGCACCCGCGGGGGTGGGGGGAGGAGGAAGGAAGAAGGTTTTCTCTGTTTGCCTTGGACCCCCTGAAACCCCATTGGCTCTTCAGCTGGAGTCTGTTTGTCTTTCTTGCTTTCTCTGTACTCCCCCTACTCTTTCCCCTAAACTTCGTTCCACGGGACTGTGAATACAATGATAATGCATAGATACACCTTGATTTAGCTTCCCCTGCAAGAGGAAAAAAATTACGAAACAAAACACAGAAACAACACACCACACCAACAGTACCCGTCCGTCCTGCTGCCTGGCAGGGCGTAGGGACGGGGCTCTGGAATCCTTCTGCTTCGGACGCACACTTGTAGAATGTAGGGGAAGGGGGCAGAACTTGGCAACGCGAAATGGAAATGGAAGCGCTGGTTGCTTCCTGAGTTATGAGTAGGGAGGCTTGAGTTTGCAAAATAACTGCAATGATAAATGACTGAATAAGAGGAAGACTAAAGTGAAAAGTTTCACAGGGGAAAAAAGTGCAGAGGTTTAAAAATAAATAAAATAGGACTGTAGGAGACTAAAACAAGTTGTTTTTTAATCCAACAAACCGGCTCTCATCAGGGTGTGGATCCCCCCCGCCCCGCCCTGCTGCAGTCCTTTCCTTCAGTGATCTCAGGAAAGGAAAGGGCGTGCAGATCAGAGATCACCCTAACCTGATATGTGCTCTGGTCTTTTTGGAAGAGTTTGCCTTGAGGCTGGTGGGAGGGAGACCAGCAGGGACCACCTGAGCTATGGCCTTCTTAAGTGAGATTTTGGAAACATGGTTCAGAAACTGACACCTGGGGACTTAATTTCCAGGATGTCCAGCAAATATATGGCCTCTTCCGCCCCTGAAAGACTGACTGGAGGCCAGAAGCTGCTTGGATGAGCCCTGTGACAGTGGGGGAGCATATCCCACGAGCTTGACATGAAAATATCTGTTGCCAGACAGATAAGGAGGATCCAGGTAAGAGGAATCAGGTTAACTTCCTCTACATAGTGCCCTCTCAGAGTGCTGGTGGACTGACCCAGAGGCATTTGGCAGCCCTGACAGGGAACTCGGACCCCCGCCCAAGGTTTGGCTTTGCCCTTGGTAGAGTTAGTCATTTATCTTTTAGAATGGGGTGAAGAACCCTGACCATTCGCTAAGAGGGTCATGCAGATGAACCCATCAGTGGCTCTAGATGATTTTGAAGGATGCAAAGGATCTGGATAAATGCTCAGATTACTGGGAACCAAACCCCTCTTCAACACCCAAGGTGCTGCTATATAATTGCTCTCTGGTGCCGATAAGAACATCTGATTTTCAGTGATATGACTGTTCTCTGCTGCATCCTCCTCAGGCAAACAGTGCCCAGAGCCAGCCGATTTGCATCTTCATGTTCAAGGCAAACAGGTTGCCATCTTAGCTGAGGAGGTGATGTTCTCAGACACTGCCTCCTTGAGGCAGGCTTGGGGAAACACACACAGGCTCAGAGATCATAACAAAATTCAGCTGTAATAATACAGTGAAATCCTGCATGGCAAGGCACAGTCAGTACCAGTAGCATGAAACTAGTCTGAGAGGTCAAAGGATGAAATGAGTGAAAGACATGTTTGGATGTGACTGCAGGTTTCTCCTAGATAATTTTTGTTGACTGGTATTGCAGGCAAAAAAAAAAAAAAAAAAAAAAAAAAAAAAAAAAACGAGAAAATAACCCAACATCTTCCAGTGTATAGGCTGCTCTCTTTTCAGGTTTCAGAACCTGTTGGTTGAAAATCAATGCCAGTCATGAGGGTAGAGATTAAGGAAAGGGGGCTCATGTCATCTTTCCAAATAGATACCAGGATAACACAGTCTTGTGAAGCAAACCTGTCTATTTCCTTCCTTTCTAAAATGTTTTGATTTCCAGGAAATGAGCCATGGTCTCCCACCTGGTGGCAGCAAGTGTAAGTAAGGATGTGTGAATTGATTCTTTAACAATGCTATGACTTGCTTGGGGGGAGTGGGGCTTATATGAAGTGTCCTATATTTGTTTCCCTGCCCTCACCTATGGTTGAAGAAAGGTAATTTATGTTTTTATTGGTTGGGTTTGACTAGCTATGAAATTATAATCACACCATACAGGTGACTGTAGAAAATCTGAAAAGAAATACACTTTTGTGGCTTTTATTTCTGGGATGGGGAGGGGTATATGATAGAGATCACTTGCCATTTACCATTACACCCCACACCATACCAGAGCAGTTTTCTGGTATTTTTTGCGCACACTTTCTTGCAAAGTAGCAAGCATTTGTTTATATAATATCTGGTCATTCTTGCCTGAATACTTTATCATTTTACTTATTTCTGAGCTTCTCAAAGGTAGGTGCTGTCTCTCCCCCTCAATACCTAGTACAATTCAGCCATCCCTATTTTTGCTCAGTAAACACTCACTGAAGCTTGAAGCCTATCAATTCCATTTCCAATAACAACATAGAGACTGCTGCTGTGAATGAATAAAAATGTATTCTCATTGATTTCTGAGTGAGAAGTAAATGCTTATTTAAATAGCCTGGAATACATAGCCTTTGAGGAAATGCAGTCAATCTTTTCCTTTTCAGAATGGATGTTAGAACCATAATTAAAAAGCAAATTACCAACAATTAAAAAAATGGTTTGGAAAGTGTCCTTATCCTCTGCAGTCCCAACAGCAGCAGACTAGTGATGATGTTGTTGGTTTCAGGGGTAATAAATTTTTTTCCTAAGTGAACAGAATATCTGCAGTGACTAGAAACAGCTTTGGGATTGTAAAATCGAATGTTTAACCTGTTGAAGGTCAGGATGAAATTACTTTCTTTCCTCTTAGGTTCGTTCCCCCGCTCCTTGCCAGGTTTTGATGAAACCATCTGATTTATTTGGTATATTCTGAGAGATCCTGAGCTTTTGCTGCAGTATATTCTAGAAAAGATAATGAGATATATGGTCAGTCATCTTTCTTTTCTGAGAATATGATTCTTATGTGTTTATTAAAATCTCTGACAGGGGCATCTGCACATCTACAGCCCAAAATGAAAGGCTGATCTATTGCCCAATGTGCTCCCAAGGAAAAGGGGGAAATCCATAGAGGCCAGGAAACCATTCAGGGATATTATAATAAGGATTATTTAATCCCTTCTGCTGGTATGGTACTTTATAGTTTGTAGAATGCTTTGCTCTACATTATTAACTCTATTTCCCTTGAAGAAGGCAGCAGGGTGGGAGAAGGCAAAAATAAAACTTGCCGCCTAATAGGATATAACTATTAATTTATCTAACGTGGTTTTTTGAAAAAAAAAATCCAACATAGGGCTTTCTGTGACACATTGGATCCTCATTTGCCTAAGAACAATTTGTAAGCTGACACTCCCTCAGCCTGGATTTTTTTCAAAGCAGCAATTGTTGTTCCCAGTCTGATGCTCCCAGCGGGGGGCCATCCTAGAACAGGAGTCTGAGAAGGAAGGATAAGAGGCAGAGACACAAGACCCTGAACCTCTTGTCCCTGAACCTATTACTCCCAAAGACCCTTTTTTTTTTTTTTTGGAAAGAAAATAAATAGAAATTCTGCTAGGGATAGGATGCCCAACCTTTCTAAAGACTGCTGACCATAATTCCCTCAGTGGAAAAAAATTAATTTTAAGGATTAAAAAAAGAAAGCATCCATTCCTAAAGGGAGATGCCCTACCATCACCAAAGCAAGTAAACCTTATTCTTAAAATAGAAAAACAAATTTACAAATTAAAAAAGAAAGGAACAGTGACCCCAGATAATGAAACTTATCCCTCCCCTAAAAATTATTTTAAGAAAAAAGAAAGAAATTCTAAAGGTAGGTGTTCCTCACCTTCATCAAAAGCCATGAAACTTATGTCCCCAAGAGAAAAATTAATGAGGAAAAGAGAGAAACCACCTCAAGGTCAACAATATTTCTAGCCTTTAAAAATCCATGAAATTTATGAACTTGATTTTCACCCCACCACTCATGCCCAATCCCTTGCAAAAATTATGGGGCAAATATAAATCTCCCAAAGGGGAGTCTCACCAAATCTCCCTAAAGTTGTTTGGGGAGAAATGTCCAGAATAGGCAAAGCCTTAGAGACTGAAAAGTAGATAAGTCATAGCCTAGGGCTTGAGAGAAGGAGGGGGAAGTGTGGGTGATGGTGAAAGGATACAGTTTCTTTGGAAGATGATAAAAATGTTCTGAAATTAGATAGTGGTGATGGCTACACAACCCTGTGAATATGCTAAAAAACACTGACTTCGTATACTTTTCCTGGTGAATTTTGTAGTATGTTAAATCTGAATTCTTAAAAATATGTGTAAAAGAGATCACACTCCTCCAACTGCAAAATAATGAACCTACTGTCTTCCCACAAATAAACAAAGGAACAAATGAATACATAAGGAAAAAAGAAAATTTTAAAAAGGAACCAAAAGACAGGGGGATCCTCTTAAGGGCAGGGCCTCCAACTTCACCAAGGAAAATAACTTTTATTCACCACCTGATTTTTTCTCTTTGGGAAATACAAACAAAAAGGAAGTCTTTTTAATGGCAGATATGTTCAAAATCATCAAAGTCCATGAAACTTATCAATCCTTCCATCCCAGAAACACACAAATGTTTTAACAAAATGCTGAGTGAAAAAGAAAGAAATATTTAAGGACTGGGCCCCTGATCTTACCAAACATGGTAAATTTTTAATTCCCAGAAATGGAGAAAAAAGAAACAAAAGAGATCAATCATTCCCCTGCCAAGGGGAGATGCCCCATCCTCACCA